TATTTTATCTAGCTTGTCACTGCTCCGCGTGAAAAATGAGTATCGCAAGCAGTCAGCGTGCTCAATCATATCTGTAACACCCACGATGTTCACCTCTCAACACCAAAAAACAAGTCAGCAAAAATGTGACGTACTTCCGGCTGACGTCACATATCAAAAGAGTAAGTCCGCCCATCCTAATCGGCTTCAGCCTAGCGTTCCTTTGATGTAGGAGGAAAACTGAGTGACGCATGTTATAAACTTCTGCGACTTCAACGAACACCTGTATGGTACTGACAACCAATGATTATAATCAAGGCGGAGCCCTCGATCAAAATACGGTCATTGCACACCCTAGGAATGCATCTTTGCAAAGCAGCTCGCGGTCTTCAGCCAGAAATTGAAGGTTGTCCTAATTACGTTCCACAATATTTTTCTTTTTTAAGGGGTCTCCTCATCCTTTTCAATAATATTTTTTTCGACGATTCTGTGATCATAAACATGTCACTCCTTTTAACTATTTAATTACATTTATGTTCATAAAAAGTTCCACCAGAAACATCGTCATGTTTTAGCCACATTTATCAGTATCAGGATCAGATATAGGAAAAACATTTAAGTCTAAAATCAATCCACTACACTCATTAGTATCCCATCACTTTATGAGATGCTACATCTGACAGGGGATGGTTAATACATCTGTCAGTGTCTCAAAACATTTATATTCCATTTTCCAATAAGAAAAATCATCCTCGTACCTCCCCTTCAGCAAAACAAGTGAGTGAGTGAGTGAGTATGGTTTTACGCCGATTTTAGCAATATTCCAACAATATCACGGCGGGGGACACCAGAAATGGGCTTCACACATTATACCCATGTCGGGAATCGAACCCGGGTCTTCGGCGTGCTTTAACCACTAGGCTACCCGACCGCCCCTCCAGCAAAATAAGAAAAAGAAATCATTTTGATATAGACTTAAGTATGCTCTTTGTTATACGTCTTCTACACACACGAGTACTCGGGACCGGATTTAGAAAATTTATTTCAGAGTACATATCTTTTTTAATTTGCACGCTTCACCCCAATTTTGTTGTCTCCTCTTGACGAAAAAGCCTATAACGTCATCTGTATCAGGGACACGTGGCATCCAGTTTTCGTGGAAACGCATCATCAAAAGCAATTTTGTTGAAGAAAAATGTTCTTTTCACACTTCTCGCCGATTACGTAATCAACACGAATTCCATTAAATCGGAAGCTGCGGTGCCGAAGCTGGTTATGAATTAACGAACACCTGGTCACATGTATCATCACTTTGATAGCGATTCATTAACGCATGCTCATGATATAGTCGGAATCGTACAATGGATTCTGCTTTGATATGAATGCGGAAAGGTTTTTGTCGTTTTTATTGACGTAAGTTATTAAGGTGGAGACCCTCACTGTGTTTTGCCGTATCAATGTCATACCAAGAAGAGAAAGAAAAAGAGAAACAACTTGGAATCAACTAAGAAACCCGTACTCACGAACCACCGTACTGTATATTGAGGGCACCAGGTGTTCACTAAACGGATGACCCTGTCTTGCCGGAAAGACCGCCTCCGTGGTCTAGTGGTAGAGCGTCCGCCCGGAGAGCGGAAGGTCCGGGGTTGGATCCCCAACCGCGTCATATCAAAAGACGTTAAAAGATGGTACTTGTTGTTACCCTGTCTGGCGCTCGGCATTAAGGGGCTAAAACAAGGACTGGTCGGCTCGGAGTCAGTATACTGTGTCTGGGTGGGGTATTCATGTTCAACTGCGGCATGGTATCTCAGTGAGCTAGCACTATAAATCGGCATCAGTCCGGACTAGTACAAGCAGCCACACAAACACACACACGTACATACACGTCGTTATATAAGTGCAATCTTAGACGCGACGTTAAACCCCATTTCACCTCACCTCACCTCACCTCTTGCCGGAAACCGTCATCGTGAATAAAGGTCAAGGTCACGTTAGAATTGACATGACAAAACACTTTAATGTTGTGACAATATGAGGTCGTAAGTGTTCCCTTGATAACTAAACTTATCACGATACAGGGGTTTAAGATTACATTCATATATTACACGTTTAGTTTGATTAAGCAACCAACTATACATTACTTTTAGTTGGGTCTGGAAATGGCGTTTTGGTTTTATTGAGATGTTGGAACCATTTGGACTAGAAGAAAATCCTAGACAGCCGACATCAAGGTAATGAGGCGTTTCATAGGCCCCGCGTGTCTCACTAAGTCTTTTAAGATGAAGTTAGTGCATCAACTGTAGGAGGAGGCTTTCAAATAAAATATCGTATTCGAGCTGCTATGCTACAAGGAATTGTTTAGTAGAACCTGCCTCGGGGTTTATATACCAACACTCTTGCCCCTTAGGCATCCAAGGACAGGTCGGGGCGGTCGGGTAGCCTAGTGGTTATAGCGTTCGCTCGTCACGCCGAAGACCCGGGTTCGATTCCCGACAATGTGTGAAGCCAATTTCTGGTGTCCCCCGCCGTGATGTTGCTGGAATATTGCTAAAAGCGGCGTAAAACCATACTCACTCACTCACTCCAAGGACAGGTCACTGAACCCTGTTCTATATTATAGGTGCAACATTTACACCCCGTTCTTTATCAAGCAACGGACACTCTCGTCACCCGGGCCCGGATGCCCTCAGGAGGTGAGCTGCCCAACACGGTTGCCCATCCAGCTACTCTCCGCCACAACCTTGTCTAACTTTGCATGATTTGTAACCTTTGATCACTAATCAAATAACCTGAAATTTCTGAATACAATAAAAAAGGTTACCGCTGTGTACATTATAAGATACCTATGAGTGAGTGAGTGAGTTTGGTTTTACGCCGCTTTTAGCAATATTCCAGCAATATTACGGCGGGGGACACCACAAATGGGCTTCACACATTGTACCCATGTCGGGAATCGAACCCGGGTCTTCGGCGCGACGAGCGAACGCTTTAACCACTAGGCTTCCCGACCGCCCCAGATACCTATGAACAATCACACATGAAACGTCAACAAATGTGACAATGACCTTTGTGGACTTTGACATAGCTGAGGTCATGTCAGATAGCTCGATATATTAGATAAGTAACTGTTTTCTGCTGCACCACAGTATCAATACGTATGATAGGTTCACACATCAAAGATAATGAAATGTAGTGTCAGTATCTAGCTTGCCGTGCAGCAATAGAAAACAGGCAACAAAGAAACAGTTACTTTTCATGTACATTTTGTGAGTGGCGGGTGCTGCCGGTAGAGCAGGACAAGCTTACCAAGTTCTCGAACACCTGTTGTCATCGCTGGTTTTCAGTGATCCATTCATATCAGTTTTACCTCAATTTGGCCCCCAATGTTATTTTCTGGCGTTGACGTTTAATATTTACATAGTTAACAATATTTCAGCGTTATTAGGGCGCTAGAAATGGGCTTCACACATTCTAATCATGTTGGGAAACGAACGTAACGCTTTAAACACTCAATGCCCCTCTCTAGGTAATGTATTGCGCGTCGAATATTAAATGATATCGACCTACTGACAACCTGTCAAAACCACTCCACTCAATGTTTCGCAACACCCATGGATGTCCAACAACAACCGTTTCCACTCATCCTTTATAAATCTGTCTGGAAGCGCTACTCCCGTCTAGGCGGAAGGGTGCGCGCATCACAACCCCGAATCCCCACTCGGGCCCCGGGACCAGCTTTGATCTGTAGTGTCTATTCGTGGCAGTGAGGCCAGTGTTAGATTAGATTTGGAATCGACCCGGAATGGTTTCCGTCGTAGCCTCAGGGCTTGACCTCTGTGTTCGTGTTATCGTAATGAGATGATCGAGCTAATAACCTTATTGTTGGACATGGTAGAGTTTGGAGGCAGCTTTGAAACATTCTAATTCTCTGTCAACTAGAAGATGATTATCATTTAACTTTGGATCAACATGTATCTTTTGGGTATTGTTTAATATTAAACAGTTTCAGAAAAAAAGGAACATAAAATCGAAGTATATAACACACGCTGATAGCCGTTGCCAATTGGAATTTGTTACAATTTAAAAATGTTTAATCTGCTTTCCCGTTGCAAAAAATAAATGCATTCATTCAACACCGAAAGATAAATGTTAATGATATTGTATACCTGTGTTTATCCGGCTAGTTCCTTAAAAAGAATTAATTAGTTATTGATTAATCAATTTCCAGTCAATGATGTTCCTGTAAATTAATGAAAGTTAGATAATGATAGTTGAACTGTTCCCACTAACACTGTTCAAGGAGCCGAGTTTCTTTTGGGGTAGCTGAGTCGGGGGGAACGGGTTTAACAGTGTATGCTCTTGTAAAACAGATTGCCGCTTTTTAACTGACAACAGAACTGTATAAATTAAACAGATCTCGTACAACACTCTCAGCAGTTTTAGTGCCTAGGCTTAGTCTAATTCTGATTCTAGTAACGTTAATTTGATGATAATAATAATCATCATCATCATCATCATCATCATAATAGGCTTTGAAGCTTTTTTCCAAACTAGATACCATGCTCAAAGCGATACCTCGGTCAATGGATCAGTGTGCTCTCGATTTTTTTATTCTCAGCTCCCTGTGGAGTATTCGCTAGAAGGTTTACAGCCATATTACTATATCATCCTCCCGGGTACCTAGTCACAGCTGAAGGCACCACATGTGAAAGTGAAAAAAGACACCACATGTGCTTCAGTGTGGGTCAGGACCGAAGCCCAAAACGTTCAAGCTGCTGAGGAGGATGCTCACCCATTCAACTACCCTCCGCCGCCCATGTCGCTTATCTTCACCGGATATACGACCTGTGCGCTGTAACCAGGGCAATGTGCCACCATTGTATATTACATCCCCGTTTTCTATTCTTCTGTAACACACCTGCATTAATTACCGAGTTCTGTATCATATAGTCATTAACGACCGCCTTATGTACCATATAGCCATTACCTAGCGTCCTCGGTGCCATATAACATTTAACTACCGCCTTCAGTGTCATGTTGCCATTAACTACCGTCTTCTGTGTCATGCAACCATGAACTACCGTCTTCTGTGCCATGTAACCATTAACTGCCGTCTTCTGTACCACGGAACCATTAACTACCGTCTTCTGTACCACGTAACCATTAACTACCGTCTTCTGTACCACGTAACCATTAACTGCCGTCTTCTGTACCACGGAACCATTAACTACCGTCTTCTGTACCACGTAACCATTAACTGCCGTCTTCTGTACCACGGAACCATTAACTGCCGTCTTCTGTACCACGTAACCATTAACTGCCGTCTTCTGTACCACGTAACCATTAACTGCCGTCTTCTGTACCACGTAACCATTAACTGCCGTCTTCTGTACCACGGAACCATTAACTACCGTCTTCTGTACCACGGAACCATTAACTACCGTCTTCTGTACCACGTAACCATTAACTACCGTCTTCTGTACCACGGAACCATTAACTGCCGTCTTCTGTACCACGGAACCATTAACTACCGTCTTCTGTACCACGTAACCATTAACTGCCGTCTTCTGTACCACGGAACCATTAACTACCGTCTTCTGTACCACGTAACCATTAACTGCCGTCTTCTGTACCACGGAACCATTAACTGCCGTCTTCTGTACCACGTAACCATTAACTGCCGTCTTCTGTACCACGGAACCATTAACTACCGTCTTCTGTACCACGGAACCATTAACTACCGTCTTCTGTACCACGTAACCATTAACTACCGTCTTCTGTACCACGGAACCATTAACTACCGTCTTCTGTACCACGGAACCATTAACTACCGTCTTCTGTACCACGTAACCATTAACTACCGTCTTCTGTACCATGTAAAGAGTTGGGTGAGGGGTGGGGGCATGCAGAGAATGTGGTGAAGGGTGGGGGCATGTAGAGAGCGGCGTGAGGGGTGGGGGCACGTGGAGAGTGGGGTGATGGGTTTGGGGCATGTAGAGAGTGGGGTGAGGGGTGGGGATATGTATAGAGCGGCGTGAGGGGTGGGGACATGTAGAGAGTGGTGTGAGGGGTGGGGGCATGTAGAGAGAGGCGTGAGGGGTGGGGGCATGTAGAGAGTGGTGTGAGGGGTGGGGGCATGTAGAGAGAGGCGTGAGGGGTGGAGGCAGGTGGAAAGTGGTGTGAGGGGTGGAGGCATGTAGAGAGTTGGGTGAGGGGTGGAGGCAGGTAGAGAGTGGTGTGTGGGGTGAGGGACATGTAGAGAGTGGGGTGAGGGGTGGGGGCATGTAGAGAGTGGGGTGAGGGGTGGGGACATGTAGAGAGTGGGGTGAGGGGTGGAGGCATGTAGAGAGTGGTGTGAGGGGTGGAGGCATGTAGAGAGTGGTGTGTGGGTTGGGGCATGTAGAGAGCGGCGTGAGGGGTGTTGGCATGTAGAGAGTGGTGTGAGGGGTGGAGGCATGTAGAGAGTGGGGTGAGGGGTGGAGGCATGTAGAAAGTGGTGTGAGGGGTGGAGGCATGTAGAGAGTGGTGTGTGGGGTGGAGGGATGTAGAGAGTGGTGTGTGGGGTGGGGGCATGTAGAGAGAGGCGTCGTGATGGGTGGGGGCATGTAGAACGTGGCTTGATGGGTGGGAACATGTAGAGAGAGGCGTGTGGGCTGAGGACATGTAGAGAGAGGCTTGTCGGATGGAGACATGTAGAGAATGGAGTGAGGGGGTTTGGGCATGTAGAGAGTGGCGTGATGGGTGGGGGCATGTAGAGAGAGGCGTGAGGCTGGGGGCATGTAGAGAGTGGCGTGAGGGGTGGGAGCATGTAGAGAGTGGCGTGAGAGAGGGGGCATGTAGAGAGTGGCGTGAGGGTGGGGGCATGTAGAGAGTGGCGTGAGAGATGGGGGCATGTTCTGTGGTCGACTATACATCACAGGTATGTGATGCCGGCTGCTGAAACAAGGACGTGACATCACGAACCATCAATACCCTGCAAAACCCGGTCAGCCGATGATGGAACATATTTGCACATGCCAGAACTAGTTTTATTACAAGAGTGCACGAGTACTCGGTCATTCAACCCAAACTAAAACCAAAACTCAAACAGTAAAGGTTCGATAAGTTTAATAAGTGTCATTCAATCGTCAATGATACCTTATTTCAAAACAGTTAAATAAAGGGCCCGACATGACATTCTCAGAGTGGTCACGTGTTTCCGGAGAGTCTGTTTTAACTGTCACATTTTAAGACCTTACGTCCTTTGCAATGTTTCCAAACTCCACATGCTGCATGACTCCTTCTGTTACACGGTTGAAAGTACATCTGCTGGCAGGACTTCACATTACACATACATCACAACCTGTCAGTGCTTTACATCTGGCAGCCGTCAGCTCGTCACCATTCGCCCCTTTCCGTAACCTACAAGAAGACTCGTCCCCCTATCGATGAATGGTATGTGCGAAAATGCGACAAACTGATCAGAATGCGCGTATGACTTCAATTACTAAGGTCAAAGAATCCCTCGGAAATAATTTTTGATTTTACGCAATGTCTTGCAGTTAAAAATATACCCAAGATAATTTAAATGTGTTCAACTATACTGTATAATAATGTTAGTCCCGATGTGTTTTCAATAACATCAGCTCACTTCGGGCTTTCCTCCCACCTCAAGCTGACACGCCGTGATATAACTGGAATACTGTTAAAAGCGGCGTTAAACCCAACTCACTTACTCACTCAATAACATCAGGAAAGTATATGATATGTTCTGGAAATGTACGTGAATCATGACGCATTGAGTTGACAATTCTTTTAGCGATGTCCGTTTGCGCTTAGACGGAACCCACTCGCAAAAATGGCCACGAGAGAGGCACGAGTCGCTATTCGGTTTGTACCGGAATAACACGAGTTGGTCACGAATGGCAGCCGTCTAGACAAATTCGAGCAATCTCGTGTGATTTATCTTCGCCATCTGCAATGCAAACGTCATTGGAACTCTCGCTTGTGAGGCAGACGACACCTATTCAATAAAGCCAATCCGTAAAAGACGGTACTTAATATATAATAGGTACAGATGTAGTTCTAGACTTGACATTGATTCACACACTGTTTATGGCAGCCAGAAATACTGACCCCTTTCACGCTTTCTTGGTGATAATTCGAAAACGAGGCTTGGGGAGCTTACCGTCACGTATGTATCAACTGATATTGGCGACTGGTTGGCATTTTCTTGCACTTAAAACATATATAGAGACTACTTTTGAAAGTATCTCTTAAACTTTCCATGTTGAAAGTCATTCCGGGATCGGGATGCTTCTGATTATACAGAATGGGCTGGGTGGCCCAGTCGTCAAAGGCGCCGCGATTCGCTGTGCGGAGTTGCGTCCCTTGGGTATGCCAGAAACCTGTTATCGTGGGTTCGAATCCCAGTTCGCCCCGATTATACTTCTAGGTTTGTCCGCACCATATGCGTGCTCATGGGTTTCAAAAAAGTCGTAAACGATCTTTCCTCCCGCATTAAGCTGACACGCCGTGATGCAACAGGAACAGTGTTAAAAGCGTTAAACCCAACTCACTCACAGATAAACAGAGAACTGCTCGTGTTATTTGTAAATACATAGACCTGTATGAAACGGGCGTTTTACTAGATATGCCGAGTTGTGGGACTGGATAATAAGCAAGTCGATGTTTAGGAATGCCGAATAATGGACAAACACCAAAATACTTGCGGCCCCGGTGTGGGAGGCTCAAATGACTCCCCAGGCTCCAATGACTCCCCAGCCTCAGACGACTCTTGAGTTATTTGAGCCTAGGCTCAGATGACTCCCCTAAGGCCCAAACGACTCCCCCGTCGTAGGCTCAGATATTTCGATTATTGCAACCCTAGTTTTTCGAAATAAAGTTAAACATAAAACTGTAATAAAATAACTGGTACTAAAACATCTGAAACACAATATTGGGGATTGTTCTTAACCTGACATTTCAGAATAGAAAATGAGGAAGAGGGGTTGAAAACCTATATAATACAAGATATGTTTGATCTTTTCTGTAATTATTTTAATTCAAAACAAGGGGAGTCATTTGGGCCCAGTAGGAGAGTTAGATGAGCCTTGAGGGAGTGTTTTGAGCCTGGCTAGGGGAGTCGTGTGAGCCTAAGCCCATATGACCCTATAGTCTGTTGAGCCTAGGCTCGTATGACTCCAGAGTCAAATTCATGGGGAGTCGTTTGAGCCTACTACACCAGCCTCAACCACAATAAACCGCAGAACTTTTGACAAAGATTTTAAGTACCCATTCTCGGTTGTCAACTATCCGGCCCATAACTCATACGGTGGACTAAAGTTAAATAATGGCATACTAACGTTAAGTAATGTCTTAAGAAGAAATACGGATAACTAGATATTTTCGTTTGATCCTGAACATGGCCTCTTTCTTTTATTGTAACAATCGTTGGTGTATTCCATGCATCCAAAATTAGCTCAGCGTCCACAGATGGCACCTGTGGTGTCACCAGTTGAATATGTTCTCAAACACAAAAATAACAATGACCACGTGAACGTATTGATAACACTGATAAGGGGTGCGATAACTCTGACTAAGCGGCTGCAGCAGATTGGCTGTTCCATTATTTAACTAAATACACAAACTACTTGTTGTGATATACTGTGTGATGACGCACGAGACCTGGGATGTCGCTTCATGTGCATTGTGGGCACAAACAAAATTTATAAATCAAGTCTATTTTTCCCCTTCAAATTGATGAACATCTCCAGTTGAATATAAACTTCACCATAACTTGGGTAACAAAGGCATTTTTCGAATTGGAAATTTGGAATTTCAATTTCAATTTTCAGACCAAGCAAAACACCAATATACTTTAAATCTTCAAAAGAAGCAGATAAAAAAAATTATTTTTTATATTTTTTATTATCATTAACATAAGAACATGATCACCTTTACTTATATATTTTTATATAAACTGCCGGTCAAAAGAAAGCATACACTTTCGTTCCTTGGCTAAAACCAGTCGCCGAAACATTGATAACTTAAAGTTCAATACCGCCGATGATACCCACATCAAATACATCACCATCGAATAACCGTTTCTTGTTTGTATCATTTTCAGCCACCATCAAACATGGATGTATACGCGGTTTTTCCTGCACTTTATATGTTAAATATGTCGACGTATTTCCATCCTCAACTGCCGCGGTGTTCAAGACTACGGAACACACGAAGCATATTTGCATCATATTCTTTGCGATCGTGTTATCAACATACACGCATCCCAGTTCATACTATTCCATCTTGGCTAGAGATCAAACAGTGGTTACTTTCAATAACCAACACCGTCTCCGTGTTACAATATAATTGGCACCCGCTCCCTCTTTAAAGTACATACACTCTGTAATTTAAAATACAATATAATATTTCCGCAAGGATAAGAACATTTAGTGCACAGTTACAGTGGCTAGTGTAGCGATACGATCGGGAGCGTCAATAAAATCCATAAGCCGCCGTGTTTCTTCGCGAGGCTAATGTGATGGGATGGGTCTGTCGTGAACGAGCTCATGTGTAAGACGACCCCTGTACGTTTATGGCCAGTCCGTATGTTCCATCCAGTTAATCATGTACACATATGTATACACTTCTCTTGGGTCGGTGGGTGCATGTTATACTTTGTTGAACTTGTCACCGTGAAAGTAAGAATTAATCATTTCTGCACCCAGAGAGACAGAGAGATACAGAGAGAGACGGTAGAGAGAGAGAGACAGAGAGACGGGAGGGAGACAGTGAGAGACGGGAGGAGAGAGAGGGCGACACAGAGAGAGACGGGAGGGAGACAGCGAGAGACACAGAGAGAGACGGGAGGGAGACAGTGAGAGACGGGAGGAGAGAGAGGGCGACACAGAGAGAGACGGGAGGGAGACAGCGAGAGACACAGAGAGAGACGGGAGGGAGACAGTGAGAGACGGGAGGAGAGAGAGGGCGACAGAGAGAGAGACGGGAGGGAGACAGCGAGAGACACAGAGAGAGACGGGAGAGAGACAGAGAGAGGGAGATAGAGAGACGGGAGGGAGGGAGACAGAGAGACTGGAGGGAGACAGAGAGACTGGAGAGACATAGAGAGGGAGATAGAGAGACGGTAGGGAGACAGAGAGACGGGAGGGAGACAGAGAGACGGGAGGGAGACAGAGAGACTGGAGAGGCATAGAGAGAGGGGGGGGGGTAACACATAAGAAATGAGTGAAGTCAGTGTAGTAGAATAAACACACGGCCTCTACAATCTCTGACATATGCCACTCACTCGCCGGTTACGCTACGTCGAAAGCCGTGTGGAAATCTAACGCTGGCGTACGGGACTCAACGCGTCATTACACAATAGGACAACAATGAAAGCAGTTAACGGTTCGTGCATGACGTCAACGTCGGAAATCATTGTTACACATGTGCTTTGTATGGACTTTTGAAATGGAGGAGTGAGTGAGTGTGTATGGTTTTACGCCGCTTTTAGCAATATTCCAGCAATATCACGGCAGGGGACACCAGAAATGGGCTTCACACATTGTAACCATGTCGGGAATCGAACCCGGGTCTTCGGCGTGCCGAGCGAACGCTTTAACCACTAGGCTACCCGACCGCCCCTTGAAATGGAGGAAAGATACAGAGATAAGGAGTCGCCTTCTTCTTTTTTTAAACCGTTTTTCCTATTAACCAATGTTTTTTGTAATAATTTATTAATTGGATTGTTATAACTTGTGTTGCCGGCGTGGTACAAGTGGCATGGTATGTCAGTATATGTGGCGTTAAGAATCGCACAAAATAGTACTCCAACCCACAAAGTTCACCACACGAGATACAAATTTCAGTAATCTGATTTCCCTCGTTTATATTCATTCAGGTTAACTAT